CGTGGTATTTGGTTTACTGTCCCTGTGTTAGGTTGCTGAGAATGATGGTTTCCAGCTTCACCCATGTCCCTGCAAAGGACATGATTTGATTTTAAGCTACACTGTATGTGAATGGTCTACTTCTGTTTTACCCTTATCCCTAAGATGCTGTCCTTCAGGGTCTCTAACCAAAGAATTTTGCCAGACTCACAACCTTGGGAGTCCTATACTTTAACTTTTGTCCTTCTAGTCTCCCAAGGCTATTAAAACATAACTCATGTTTTCAGCTTCTTCTTGGTTAACAAATCCCTCCTCCAGAGCAAAAGCAGACCCAAGTTCACCTTTTGGGATTTCCATTTTATTTAATATATCAGCCTGACAATCACCACCTTTCCCAGATGTTTGTTATATGTAGTCAGGCATTAGACCAAGAAGATTGGACCAAACAATCTAGCAGAAAGTAGAAGCTGAAAGCAGAAGGTGGAGGGTTGTTGTTTCTTGATAAGTCGCCTCACAGCTTATTAGCCAGCCCGTGTTTGAACCACTATTTGAGCACCTTCTCTACTCTAATAAGGCCTCATCCCTGTACAAGCATCCTAACCATTCTTCCTCAAATGGAGAGTGGGGTGCTATAAACAACCCAATTTATGCTAGAAAGAAAAACTAAGTATTTTGTGTAATGTCCACATACTCTCTGGTTGCCAATTTCGGTTTTAGAGAAATGGACAAAACTTCTCCCAATCTCAGACTCATACCTATAATCCCAGCACTTTGGGAGGCCGAGGCAGGCAGCTCACTTGAGTTCAGGAGTTCAAGAGCAGCCTAGCCAACATGGTGAAATCCCAAACTACTAAAAATAAAAAAATTTAGCCAGGTGTGGTGGCTCCCAGGAGGCTGAGGCAGGAAAACTGCTTGAACCCAGGAGGTGGAGGCTACAGTGAGCCAAGATACACAGCACTTGAGCCTGAGCAACAGAGCCAGACTCCATCCTTTAAAGAAAAAAAAATTTCTCCCAACCTTATAAGTAAACTGCCTAAACAAATCAGGATTCATTTTACCATTCACTTAGCAGAATAGGAAGGTAACAGAAGTTCAAATATTTCACCAGATAACTTTATCACCCTCCAACCCGAAGGCTAGAGTTTTGATTTAATTATCTCAAATGACCGTGAATCCGTTTGAACTTATGATTACCAAAATACCTCGTTAGAAAAGGGAGATTTCTAAAACCTAAAAAGTAATTTTAAAGGTAGAATTTTGCCACTAATAATATAAGTTCTTAACAGCTGTCTTGGTCTCAGGAGTCATAAACTAAAGGCCCCGGTAATAAAACATTTAATAGAAATTAGTGAGGTAGGCCCAATGATGTGGTCCAAATAAAGAGAGGAGAAATGAGAAGTGGTGGGAACTGTGGCAAATTGGAGAGAGTATGTACATCTAAAGGGACTCAGCAGGAAATTCCGGCGCCTGTCTATTGTAAACATGTAAGAACATAAACCTGTAGTTGCCAAATCTTCCATTTTATCAAGAGAATCTGGAATAATGAATGTTCTATGACCCTCTTGTTAAAGATTGGCATTAATTAAAAAACAAGACACTGCATGGGGTAACAACGAATGGCTTAAACAAAGCTCAGTTATCTCTGATGGCTCCTTTCAGCTTTAACTCCTGCCCACCTTCTTTATTAGTACTATTAATAATGACTGACAAAACTTCTTGAAAGGCCTCAAAAGATCCTAATAAAGTACTCATAACATGTTGTTATTTTGGTAATAAGTCAGGTTTCATATTAACTGGAGACCCAAAGAAATACTTTGTAAGTGGCTAAACCTCATGTAAGCTTTCATTTCTCTAAGGTCAAGATAGCTTTTAGTAATTCAAACCGAGACTTAAAATCAAAACAAAATCTAGCTAGTTCACTTATAAAGCTTATTGACCATCTGGGGTGCATACTGTTGCAGTATGTATTTTTACAGCATGAATAAGGTCATCACATTAAACCTCAGACTTCTGCACAAACTATCATAGAAGACTCAAAAGTCAAGTGTCAAACTCTATTTATAAAAATTTTACAAAGTGAAATGTGGAAATCTGTTGGACAAAGAACACAAAATACAATCAAAATCTGAAAAAGAATTCACATTTCATACAGAGGAAAAGAACAGAAATCTGATTGAGAAATGGAGATTAATCTGTACTAAAAAGAATGCCTTACAGGAGGGGTCCCCAACCCGATATAAGCCATAATCACAGATATGCTTATCTGCACAGTAACAGCTGCTGAATTTCAGTCTACCACGTGCTTATTATCCACCAAAATAGTAATCATATCTATACCTTTGAAATATTACCTATAAATTCTTGCTCCTTATGAAATCTCTTATTCTTCCCTGATTACTTTTTATTGCTATTGTTGTTTTTATAAAATCTCTTTACCAAACTTCAGGAAATAAAGGCCTTTCAGGCTGAAAAATTCAAGCTGTCCAATCACGTATTGGCCAATATTAATGTTATAAACCTGTAGGCCTCTTTATATCTATCTATTCTTAATATTCTCTACAGCAATTTTTCCCACTTGTGCCTTGCTCTTTTCTTTCTCCTGCCTCTATCCAAAGCCACAATTTTACCAATTTCTATAATAATAATTTTTACAACTATCCTATCATGTTTTATGTAAATTAACCTTACCTTTAAGCATTATACCATGTATGCTAGAACAATATAAAGCAAAATAGGCATAGTAATTTTAACTTTATTGGTTGTCTTAGTATATTTTGGCTACAACAAAAAAATTCCATACACTAGGCGGCTTATAAACAGCAGAAATTTGTTTCTCACAGTTCTGGAGGCTAGAAAGTCCAAGGTGAAGGTACCAGCAGATTCAGTGTTTGGTGTGGATCTGTTCTCTGGCTCATAGATGGTGCCTTCTCACCATGTTCTCACAGGGTGTAAGGGGCGAAAAAGTTCCCTTGGATTCCATTTTTATAAGGGGCACTAATTCCATTCACAAAGGTGCAGCACCCTGCTCCAGTCAGTCACCTTCCAAAGGCCCTACCTCCTAATACGGTAGTCGTGGAGGGTTAGGATTTTAACATAAATTTTTAAAAAACACAAATATTAAGACCTTAGTACCGGTCTACTAAATTATCTCATAAAAAAATCTAAAGCCCTCTTGCCTAATATCCAAGTTTTCAGTTTCCAGGGATGAGTAAGCTAAAATACATGCATAATGAAACTTATGTAAATTTCTTTAAATAACATTTTCTTAAATAACAAATGTAATCATGAAATGCCTTTTCAAAAACAATATAATTTCATAATGAATTTGCTTATGAGTGGAATTTGATACATGTTGATAACTCCATATTAGAGATCATTCAACTAGTTTCTTAAAATATTTTGATTACAAAAATAATGTTCTCACGTTTGGGGGATAATTATGGAAATCTGATAATTAGGGGGAATAACTGTCCATAATCTTACAGACATGCAAAATGTGTCAGACCTTACTGAGTAAAATAAGTACAGAAAACTGTACAGAGGAATTTGCTATGTAGGGCCTAATGACTATCTATTTGAAAGCAGCTTCAGAAGAACCCAAATCAGATTATTGGTTATATACACCTCATGAAAACCAACTGAAAAATTATTGGCTATAATGAATGACTTAAATTGGTCTTTACAAAATATATAGCTATCAGTATCACCTATATAAATCCACTTTATAATTTGAAAGAAAAAATTCCATTTCCAGTTACACAAAAATGTAGTCATACACAGGAAATGCATGGAGATAAAAGAAACTCTAAACTTTGCTGTGAAATATAAAATGTAAAGAGGCCAGACGCGGTGGCTCATGCCTGTAATCCCAGTACTTTGGGATGCCAAGGTGTTTGGACCACCTGAGGTCAGGAGTTCAAGACCAGCCTAACCAACATGGTGAAACCCCATCTTCATGAAATACAAAAAATTGGCCGGGTGTAGTGGTGCATGTCTGTAATCCCAGCTACCTGGAAGGCTGAGGCAGGAGAGTCGCTTGATCCCGAGAGGTGGAGGTTGCAGTCAGCCAAGATTGTGCCATTGCACTCCAGCCTGGGGAGCAAGAGCAAAAACCCCATCTCAAAAAAGAAAAAAAAAAAAAAATGCAAATAAATAAGATGTATCAGACCTCAAACTAAAAAAGGTTGACTACCTTAAATTCATTAATTCACATCCATTCAACAAACATTTATTGATTTCTTATATGATTCTAGGCACTTGGAATGGATTAACAAATAAAGCATATAAAGTTCAAACTCGGAGTAATTTGATTTCAGTGGGGTTTTCCATTGTTTCACCATTATACTATCCTCTTAATCTTTTTTCTTTTCTTTTAAAATCAAGTTTGAGAATTCTATAAAGCCTTATTTTTCTCCTTTGAACAACTAAGGTTCTTTATTAGCATTACTTCCTAACAGTAGTCTATTACTGAACTGATTAATTCTACCCTGCTGTAGTGGGTTCTTTTGTTTTTTTTGAGACAGAGTCTTGCTCTGTCACAGAAGCTGGAGTGCAGTGGCACAAGCCTGGTACTCTGCAAACTCCGCCTCCCTGGTTCCAGCACTTCTTGTGTCTCAGCCTCCTGAGTAGCTGGGATTACAGGCACACTCTACCAGGCCAGACTAATTTTTGTATTTTTAATAGAGATGCGGTTTCGCCATGTTGCCCAGGCTGGTCTCGAACTCCTGGACTCAAGGAGTCCAGCTTAGCCTTCGCCTCCCAAAGTGTTGGGATTACAGGCTTGAGCCACTGCACCCGGCTGTAGTGGGTTCTTTTAATTACTGAGCATGTTAACATTTTATTTGGAATTTCTGCATTTATATTAAAATGTGCATTTAATAGTTCAATAACTCAATTTGTCTTATCAGTTAGCAACATACAAACACAATTATTTTGAAATCAACAAAAGGTAAGTAAAATTCAGTCTTTCAGTGATGAATCTGAGTAGAATAAGAGGTCTAATAACAGGTCGACATAAGAAATATTTGTCTTAAAAATCAATGTATTTAATATTTGACAGTTACAAATCTTATCATTATTGTTCTGTTAGTGACATTTAAATGTTCCCAAAGTTCTCAATCAAACATGTTTTTTAGTTTTCCAACAGCTGTGATTTTTCTTCTTTTGGTCTATTCAGTAGAAAGTGAACTATTTGAAGTAGAACATCATCATTAAAACCTTTCACATCATTATCCTCAATTGTTTCATAAAGAGGCTTACTTTGTGTCCCCCAACATATATTTTTACGAGGGTTATTCTGATCAGCTTGTTTAGTCAGTGCCAAAGTATTTAACTGGTAGCAGAAAAAGGAAAAGTATTTTCCATCTGTGATCACACCCTGGGAGACAAAAGGTCGAGTAACATCTGCTTCGCTCCAGAATCCTGTAGGAAAAAGCTTTGCTGAAATTTACACAAAGAATATATTTTACCCAAACAAAACAAACATATTTGACATTAGAGGGTATCACATACCTCCCACAACTTAGATACCTTATGTAACCAAATTCCTGAAGACCTCAAAGTTTCCTTATCTTCTCCATTCTAACCCTGTATTTCATTTCTGCACAAATAATATTTTCCTCCCCTCTAGTATGCTGAAACTCATGACTAATCTTTTTCAACAACGTCAGCCTTAATTTACTTCTTCTAAGAGCAGCAAGCTTTATCTACACAAATGCCTTCCACATCTGGTACTATGATTACCCAACTACCAAGGCCAAGCAGTAACTTTATTTTTCCACACGTATTTTATATCATCTTTAATAATAATGTGTATTATTATTCTATATAATATATATTATATAAAATTATATTATTCATTGGAAATAGCCAATGAATAATATATTCATATTTATATGAATATATTTATATATTCACATATATTTATATATAATAATGTATATTTATATATAAAATTATTCATTGGGAATAACCATTGAATAATACTGTTAATATATGGAACTAATTTTATTATAAAAAGAAGCACTTTATCTTTCAAAAATAAAGTGTCATTCTAACATCTTCAAGAAAGTTACTTCTCACTTTGTCTTCTTCTGTCTACTCCTAGTCCCACTTTCTCTATTCAATTCTATTACAGAAATCTAAGTCAATTTTGAGTATAAGGTTAAAATAAGTATATATGTTAAAAAAAGAGAGATAAACCTAATAATCAAACATGTTGTAAAATTCCTCCTGAATATTCACGTAATGTTGATCTACTTCATATTATATTACTTCAGGTTTTAGAATAAAATCCAAATGCCCCACAATGAGCTCTAATAGTCCTGTAAAATATAGCCTCTGGGTTCCTCTATCTCCTTCTACATCATTCTCCTTGTCCCACTCTTCATTACCCTTCATCATGTTGTTCCTAAATATTTCAAGCCTGTTCCCAACAAAGGGACTTTTACTTGCTGTTCCTTTTGCCTGGAAGCGTCTTCTCTCAGACTTGTGCATAGGAAGCTCCTTGGCATTCAGGTCTTAAGTCATTTTTAGAAACCTTCCCTGAATGACTTTTTAAAACTAGGTTCTTCTCCGTACCTCATTTATACCTGCCCCCTATAAATCATTCTACTCTTATGCTAAAGTATTTTCCCCATAGTATATTTCCCCACTATTTATAAGTATTACATGCTTCTTATCTTTGACCCTCCCACTATAAGTTCTAAGAAGGCAGGATCTGTTTCACTCAACACTGCATCTTGAACAGATACAGTGTGTGGCATATAAAAAAGTAGTCACTGTTTACTGAATGGATGAACAACCTCCTAATCCAAATATGGATATAACTTTTAAATAAATTATATAGGATAGCCATTGATTCAATATAAATATTTAATCCATGAAACCATTTCCTTTTCTACCTGCAGAAAGCCATTATCATCTAGGAAGGGTTGGCTTGGTTGGCTACAGTCTCTGAAATGCATGCAAAAGTACATTCACACAAGAGATGGTAAATTACCTCAGTGTCAGATTTAAACTGTATAGTATTTAAATATGGATTTTAAAACAACTGTACTTTGTGCCAATGTAAAAGCTTTCAAAATATTAAGATTCAACCTATGTTTCAACCCAAAGAAAACAATTTTAACTATTAAATTCTTAGAATGCTACAAATACCTTCAAAGAAAACCCTGTAAAATTAGTTATTACCTTGATACATAGCTTGTGCTCCAGTCCAAGCAAAAAGGCTTGCAATAGCATTAGCTCTAAAAACAACTTCTATCTGATCAGCACAGTTTTGTCTCAAAAGCCTTTCCCTTCTTAATTTGTCAGGTAACAGATGAAACTGGGTGTGACCATAACAGCAAGGATCTGCAGTTTTTGAGCCTGAAGAGCAAAATAAAAACATTTCAGATGAAACAAACATGCAGAACATCTGGAGCACATGTTTTAGTATTTGAGCCCTTTTTTCCCTTCTTTATACATCATATTCTCAGTACTCTAAATATATAAGTGGGAATATTAGTTTACTTACATAGCTTATGGATTATAATAAAGTTAAATTTCACATGAAAGCATAATTCCTCAATCTGTTAGCTGTCATAAAGCCCATCACAGCATGGAAGAATTTGAAAGAATATATAGAAAAGTTATTTAAAATTTCTATTACTTGTTTTCTCATATCCCTTAGTCATCATTAGCTTTGGTTGTCTCCTTGTCATATTAGCAAGAGAATAAAACCACTTCAACACTTTAAATACACACTTTGCTTCTAATTTTTAAAAATGATTTTTATACTACTTTTCTAAGTAAAAATAATAAGTAGCAACATTTCATGAAATGCTGAGATTCTCAATTTTAGTGGTAAAGTCTTTTCAACAAAAAGTTCCCTGCAGGTCACTCCCTAAGACCACAGTGACTGAAAAGAGGCTGATAAAATAGGTCTCCAGGACTAGCATAAAACCTTCTTAAGACTTCTTCACATTGGGTAAGAATTAACAAAGGAAGAAAAAATGGCAAAAGAATAAGCTGCATGAGGGAGGGCAGACATCAGGCATTATGAATTTGTGAATTCCTGATCTTACCAGCATGCATGGTACAAATATGACACTTTAAAAAGCCAACAGCTCTCTCAAGTCCAGTTCTAAAGATTTTTACTTTCAAAAAAACACAAATTGATTTTCTATCTAATAAGTCAACAAAGCCTAATAACTGTTTTCTAAAGTTAAACACTGCTATTTCGGTGGAAACAAGTACAACTTCAACTAATGAACCAAAACATTTTCTTTCCAATGTTTATGCATGTTGCAATAACCTGAGATGAACTGTATTGCTCACCTCTCCATCATCAAGAATTAATTCCTCATTGTAGTCAATACTCCAAATTTGCATAGGACACTTTGAACACATTTATGGTACAATATGTCAAAAGAGAAACTTACCAACAAATATGTGGTTTTCATACTGCCGTTTGAATAATGGAAGTTTATCTGGCTTACATTTTATAGTGGGGATTTCTATAGGAACAGAATAATCCAATGGCACAAACTTAAAGAAAAAGAAAAGACATACTAAATTCACAGCAACATTAGTATGTATTTTACTCACACTCATTACATTTAAAAATCTTACCCCTACATATTCATTTATATATTGTGTATAGCACTTTACACTGTAAGAGCAGAGCTGAAAACTGCAACAGAGACTTACGGCCTGCACAGCCTAAAATATTAACTATCCAGATCTTTACAGTATAAGTGTGACAGCCCTTGACATGAAAGCATAGACAATACTCAAAATATACTAGTTTTTCTCCAAAAGAACTGCAAATATGTAAAATGACCCAGCTGATAAATGTTAAACTCGCCTGATTGATGACTAGCTAGTATACTTTAGTAAATTATAATCATAAACTATTTCAGAATTTTTGTATTAAGAGAAACATACAGATCTGTATGGTCCTGCAAAATGATGCCTTAACTTGTTATTGTTAAATGATTATTTGACCTTGGTAGAGTACACCATAGCAGATTAAAAAGCTAAAATGACTGTTAGACATGGTGTCTTCAAAAAGGAAACTGAAAAGCAAGAGATCCACCTAAAACATTTTACTCTACTAAGACTATTACTTAATTTGCCTATGATATATCCTACATGAGATATCAATAGATACATAAATGCAATAAATCTTTACCTCTGGGAGTTGCTTGGATATTCGAATCTGGTTGTTCGGTTTATCATCTATCTGGTATCGCAAGGAATCAATTCGACCTTTTCGATGACCACAAGGAATAATTTCTTCACCACGCACCCAGTAAAAATGAACTGGGCGTTTATAATCTAAAATATATTCAAGATTTTTTTTCATCTGATCATCTAAATAAATTTGGCTATTAGAACACTAAAGAATACCAACTGAACAACAGATAAGAATGATTGAGGTAAGAGACTGGGTTATGTGATAATTTAACTATTATACCTTAAATATAACATTCAAACATTTACTGTCTACTTGTGCCATCATTACACTGAACATTAACAAGAGTATCATTCAACATAAATAAAAATAGGGCTGTTTTAGAAACTACCAATTTAATTTTCACAATAACACCAAAAAGTACATATAGTTTTCATTATCTCCATTTTATATAAGAGGAAACTGGGTCTTGACAAAGTTAAATAGTTTTTCTAGGCCACCAATCAGGAGTAATCGAAGTCCATGATGCTTTCCTCAAGATCACTTATTTCTCAACTGAAGAAGGCAAAAAAACAAGCACACAACAAGGCTAGGTTGAGCACACATCTACAGTCCTAACATTACTTCAATAAATATTAAGTAAGACATCCACTTGGTAGAAGATATAAAATGATGAACGTGTCAGAAACAATGATTTTTAAAATTCTCTATATGTTAATTATTTTTCATGTCTGCCCTCAACAGTTACATAGAAGCTGCTGACGTTTACTAGGAACTTGGAATTGGGGGTTTGAAGTTTGACCCCCCCAATCTATTAGCTACAGGGTCTCAGGCAGACACAGAATTAACGTTTCTATGCCTTAGTTTGCTTCGTCTTTTTTCATTTGCAAAACATTGTTACCTATTGTGAATGGTTATTGTGAGGATTAATAAATTGGCAGATATAAAATTAAGAACCGGGCCTAGCAAATGAATACTGAGTAAACGTTAGGTATCTTAGTTAATACTTCATTTCATCTTCACAATTCTACAACGAAAAACTACTACCGTAATTCTCATCTTCAAAAAACACGAAAAATTAAGCAAAAAGGAAGTTACTACTCCACCATGTGACACATGGTCACACAGCTTTTTGGTGGAATAGCCAAATGGAAACCTGGCCTGTCCCATTCTCTAAGTGCCCTTTTTCTTCATCACCACCGCTCTTCCACTTGGCTGGACACTCACAAAGTAGAGTCAAGGATTGGAATGCTGGAGAGCTCAGGATGTCTTCAAAAAGGAAACTTGAAAGGCAAGAGATCCACCTGCAACATTTTATTCTACTAAGACTATTACTTAACTTGCCTACGTATTGGCTTCATTTATGTATCTCACAACACTTTTTTGTGTTTTAGTTCTAGAAATAGAAACTTACTTTTGAAAGTACAGTACTAGCATGATTGTCAGTATAATTGATTATATTTAGAAGTTATGCAAGCATCACTCATGTGTGAGCTACTACTAATCTTTGGGAAAATAATTCCATATATTTATCTGTGCTAAATACGGATAATTTGTTTAATGATATTTATTTTGAAAGGGGGTGTATTTTTACTTGGATTTAACTGGGGAAGACAAAAAGGGAAATACAACTATTAAAGAATGTGTTTAAATTTTGCCTTGTATTAAAACCTATGATATAGGCAAGTTAAGTAACAGTCTTAGTAGAATAAAATGGGCTTAAGAGCTGGTTGGTTGGTGTTAGCACAGCCGCAAGTACCTAGTCTCCAGATTCTTAAGGCAGTGACTGTAACGAAACCAGGCCACCCAAACAGGAGCGAAAGAACTAGGAAAACATGAATGAAGCAGAGAGAAAGAAATGAAGAGGGGTAAAACTGTGGCAGGGTAACGCAGTATAATCCCCACCTCTCCCTTCCGCCCTGGGGGACCCAAGGCTCACCGAGGGTGGCGGCGGCCAGGACCGGGTTGTGTGGGCTGAGAAGGCCCACGAGGGTTGCCACCAGCTGATCGAGGAAGGGCGAAATTATAACCTCCCTCTCCTGGTGGCGGAGTACGCGCCGCTTGCGCCGCAGGTAGAAGTGCTCCTGCAGCAGGCAGTCGCAGGCGGCCGCACGCAGCGCCGCGAGGTCCAATGCGGGCGCGGGCGCGGGCTCGGGCTCGAGCTCCGCGGGGGCCGGCGGCAGACCCGACAGGAACACGGTCTTGGTGAAGTACTGGTACCAGCGGTCGGCGTTCAGCGCGAAGGTCTGTGGGTAAACCACGTACTTCATGAACTGCATCTTGGTGAGGATTTTCAGCTTTTCGTCTATCGACTCTGCAGCGTGCACCATTGCCTGCCAGCGCTCGATCCGCCGCTGCCGTGCGGCCTTGCTGTGGGCTGTTAGGGAGGCCACAATCGGCGGGTAACGCGCGACAGGGGTCGCCGCGACATCTTGGCAGATTGTTTCTGCAGCCGTGGCGGCATCAGCCGCGGTGTGCAATGAAAGCCTCGGATTGCGGAGCAAAGGCCTCCAACACTTGGCCGCCGCCATCTTTGTCCGCGGTTCCGGACCCAGAGGTCAACTTAAGCAATTGTCCCCGCACTCCTGCCGTAGGGACCAATCGGAAAGAGGGATCTGAGCCTGGCTAGGAAAGGCCAATTCTCGGTGGGCGTGGGTTATCTTGCGTCATTCATGGCTTAGCCAATCATATTACCTCTCCAGTCGCGGTTTCCAGCGTTTGTAGGTGGAAGGAAGAACTTGCGTGTTGAGGTCTTCCGCTGGGAGGAGATGCTGCCACCTAGGTTGCATGTAGGAGGTTGTTTGTAGGACTAGGGCAACCTCCCTTGCCAGGAACATCCTGCAGGAAAATGGCAAGTCTTTGGTTAAATGTATTGTCTTCATTTATGTATCTCACAACACTTGTTTTGTGTTTTAGTTCTAGGAATAGAAACTTACTTTTGAAAATACAGTACTAGCATGTTTTTTCAGTATACTTATTATATTTAAAAATTATGCAAGCATCACTCGTGTGTGAGCTACTACTAATCTTTGGGAAAAATAATTCCACATATTTATCTGTGCTAAATACAGATAATTTGTTTAATGATATTATTTTGAAAGGGGGTGTATTTTTACTTGGATTTAACTGGGAAAGAAAGAAAAGGGAAATAAAACTATTAAAGAATTGTGTTTAAATTTTGCCTTGTATTAAAACCTGTTATAAATTCAACATGAGTTGTTCTTAGTAATCTGTGAGCCCTGGCCTAGCCCTGGCCGTGGCTCACGCCTGTAATCCCAGCACTTTGGGAGGCTGAGGTGGGTGGATAGCCTGAGGTGAGGAGTTTGAGACCAGCCTGGCCAGCATAGTGAAACGCCATATCTACTAAAAATACAAAAAATTAGCTGGACGTGGTGGTGGGTGCGTGTAATCCCAGGTACTCGGGAGGCTGAGGTAGGAGAATAGCTTGAACTTGGGAGGCCGAGGTTGCAGTGAGCTGAGACCCTGCCATTGTACTCTAGCCTGGGCAACAGAGCAAGACTGTCTCAAAAAATAAATAAATAAGGGACTGGTTTAATTTTTAATATTCAGCAACAAATCAATACCTGTGCATAATGGATGCTCACTAAATATCTGCTAAAAAATATATCACCAAAATATCATCTTATTTCAGGTAATTAATTTATTGATTTACTCTTCTATAATTAGGAACTATAATATTAATTTGGATTTATTGTAATAATTTTTCAGGGCATTAAAACCCAAACAGATGGTATAGTTTAACTTGGAAATTGCAAGTCTATTAAACTGACTTTTAGAAATAAAATACTTAAGTTTCACTGCAGAAGTATTGTGAGAAATTGCTAGCAGATCTAAACTATCCTTTTGATATTATTATTATTATTATTATTTTTGAGATAAAGTCTGACTCTGTCACCAGGCGCCAGGCTGGAGTGCAGTGGCACAGTCTCGGCTCACTGCAATCTCCACCTCCAGGGTTCAAGCAATTCTCCTGCCTCAGCCTCCCGAGTAACTGGGACTACAGGTGGCACCATCATGCCCAGCTAATTTTTGTATATTTTAATGGAGACCAGGTTCCACCATGTTGGTCAGGATGGCCTTTTGATATTATTAACAAAAGAAGGACATAATGACTTGAGATCTTTAAACTGATAGTAAAGAATAAAAGAGGTGCTAAATGTTATTGAAGTCAAAGTGACAGTTTTTTTCTGTAAATAAGTAATAAATATGCTGTTTGAGTATGTATCATAGAAATCCTAGGTCAATATTCTTTAAATTCTTATAGTATTACAGCATAGATTTTAGGATTAGAAATTAGAGCTAGAGACCAATTAACAGCAAAGGACATAATCCTGTCAGAAAGTGCCTTTATGTTTTTTTGTGAGTGAATCAAAATAACTTCCATTGATTCAATACTTACTGATTATCAATATTATGAACCAAGGAGGGAGGCTGTGGGAAAGAGTATACTTAGTGAAGGATGGAGTAGTCTGGGCCATAGGAAAGGTGGGGTAAGGCTAGCAATGAGCAAAACAGCCTACTGATGAGAAAGGACCAAGTCAGAGCCATGGAAAGAAGATTTTCTTTCTAATATGATCCAAAACTTTTATATTCAAAACAACGAAAAAGACATAAAGCAGAAGTTACACAGCATGGTAGGGGCAGTATTGGGACTGGAACCCAGGCTACTGGCCTTTCAGTCAGTTTTACTTAATGAATTTTATTGAGTGCCTTTTGTATGTTAGGCAGTGACCTAAGTGCTCAGGGTACTTAGTGACCCAAGCAGACAAAAGCTTGCACTCTAACAGGGAGACAGACAATAAAATATAATCATACTAGTAAATTATATGATGTGTTAGAAGGGGATATGCGCACGGGAAAAAAAAAAAAACAAAAAAGCAATTTAAACCAAGTGGGTGGGGCAGGGGTGGGAGTAGAATGATAAAAATAAGAACAGAAGCTAATGCGCCGGGAAAAAAAAAAAAAACAGCTGGAGAAGTGAAGATCATCAGTGCAGTGTATTTGGTGCGGGTGGGGGAAGGTGAGGAATGTTGTTTGCAATGCTTATAGAAAAGATGACATTCTTGTAGCAAAGGTTTGAAGGAAGTGAGGACTGAACCATACCAGTATCAATGAACGCTATTTTAGAAAGAGCAGCTAGTACAGGCCGATGACATGGAAACATGCCTGGTAGGTTCAAGAACTCAGTAATTGGCCAGTGTGATTGAAAGGAATGATGGGTGGGGAACCTACTAGGAAATGGGGCTAGAAAAGAAAAGAGCCAGAAACTAAAGCCTCCTGAAGGCAATTATTAGAACTCTTGACTATTACTCTGAGAAGACTGGAGTGCCATTGGAGGGTTCTACTCAGAAGATTGTCATGGTGTGCTTAGGTTTTTAAAAGAATTTCTCAGCATGTTAGTTGGCTTGGGCTTCCACAACAAAATGCTACATACCGGGTGGCTTAAACAACACATATTTATTTTCTCATAGTTCTGGAAGCTAGAAGACCAAGATGAGCATGCCAATATGGTCAGAATCTGGTGAGGGCTTTCTTCCTGGCCTGCAGACAGCCACCTTCTCCCTGTGTCCTCATGAGGTGGAGACAAAACAACCTCTTTGGTGTCTCTTCTCATAAGGGCCCTATCAGACCAGGGCTCTCCCCCTGTGACCTAATTAAACCTGAGTTACTTCCATAAAGTCCCTATTTCAGTCACATTAGGGGTTAGGGTTTCACCATATGAATTTAGTGAGGAGGCAATCCAGTCAATTGCATTGCAGCTGATTTGGAAATAAAGATTGTGGCAGGTCAAATTTGGAAGCAGGGAAACCAGTTAGAAGACAATTGGCCAGATTTTAGGCAAGAACTGATTGTGGCTGCAGGGACAGTAGCCCTGGACACAATGGGAAGCTATGAGAAAAAGATGATTCAAGAAACACTCTAAAATTTAGGATCTGAGCAGTCGGATGAGAGAAAAAGGCCCATGAACACAGTGTGTTTGCTTTTTCTTTAGTCTCTCATTTTTTAGGGGAGGGTAGCAGAGAGAGTGGGTTGAGGTTTAGCGAAGGGAATGGGAGAATTTGTAAAGCATATGCTTATCTATTTATATGTGTTTATGTTTAAATTCTCCTGGGAGAAAATTGATGTTAAGATCTTTCCTATTAATGTTTCCATTGATCTTTGATTTAAAGTATTACAGTTCAAACCAATCAAGCCATAACATTCTCCAATGGCTTTTTGAACCCACTCTACATCATTCATTCAACAAATATTTAAGTGACTGCCATATACCAATAGTGTTCTAGGTGCAGAAAATACTGCAGTAAAATAAAGGCCTTCATGGAGTTTACATGCTAATGGATGAAATAATCTAGCCAAATATGTCACATATACATTTTTTTACGTTAGAACATGCTAGGAGCCCAGAAGAAAAATGAAGCAGGAAAGGAGACTAAATATTGTTAGACATAGGAGTTGAGTGGAATAATTTCAATAAACTAATCACACAAGGCCTTCCCGAGAAGATGGCATTTGAATAACACCTGAAGGGGATAAAGGACAGAGCCATGTGGTGGGAGACACGTCTGGTGGGAGGGAGGAAGATTCCGGCCTGGGTAAAGGCCCTGATCCTCCTCTAGCATACTTGGAAATTGGGAGGAAGAGCAAGGAAGCCAGTACAGCTAAGGTGAAATGGAATACTTCATCAACAATCACAATTACCTTATTCAGAAACAGGTTTGGATGAGTGGGGTAATATTTGTAACCACAGTATTTTGGTATTGAATGTCATGGTCAATTTTAGTTGGGCATCAGACAGTTCTGTTGATGTTTGAATAAGATCAAACTTTCCCAGTCAATTGTAGTTTTTACCAGAGCTTTTTTACTATCAAATTGATGAGGTGAGAAGGAAACAGAAACTATTTTCTACCTACAGATGTAGTGGCAGTTGCAGCTGGTTCTTTATGAGCTTTGTTTCTTTCGCATGTATTTCCTACGTACCGCAGATATCTTACCAGGTTGTATATATAACAAATTTATGTAAAACTGAGAACATAATATTTTGGGGAAAGAAAGGTGCAGTTTTGTGCTTGGTTTGTTTTTAAATGGTTTCTGATAGTTGATTTGCAGCTAATAGGAAAGCTAAGTATCTACATTATATGCCAGCTACTGTATACTCTATCTCTTACACCTTTTGGAAAAATTAAATCAAAAGGGTCACAAATTTCAATGTACGCATAAAATAATTACCAAAAAGTAAGAGAAACAAATCTGCGGGATATAGGACTAGGCAAAGAGTTCCTAGAGTTTATACCAAAAGCATGATCCATAAAAGTAAAACTTGGTAAGTTTTGACCAGCAATTGTCCTCTTGGGGCATTTATCCCAGAGAAATGAAAATTTATTTTCAAGCAGAAACTTCTTCATGATACAGCCTTATTCATTATAGCCCAACATTGGAAACAAACAAGCAGATGTTCTTGAACAGCTGCGTGGTTACAATTCATGCAGTAGACCTGGATAAATCTCCAGAGAATAACAATGGATTTACAAAAAGCCAATACCAAAAGGTTACATATGGTAAGATTTCATTCATATAACATTCCTGAGGTAACAAAATTATAGA